CCAGGCCCTACAACATTTACTTTAACCTGACCCCACAGCATCTACCACCACCTGACTTTACAACATCTACCATCACCAGGCCCTACAACATCTACCATCACCTGACCCTACAACACCTACCTTCACCTGACCCTATAACATCTACCATCACCTGACCCTACAACATCTACGAACACCTGAACCTACAACATCTACCATCACCTGACCGTACAGCATCTACCAACACCTGACTCTACAACATCTACCATCACCTGACTCTACAACATCTACCAACACCTAACCCTACAACATCTACCATCACCTGACCCTACAGCATCTACCATCACCTGACCCAACAACATCTACCATCACCAGGCCTTACAACATGTACTTTCACCTGACCCTACAGCATCTACCAACACCTGACTCTACAACATATACCATCACCAGACCCTACAACATCTACCATCACCTGACCCTACAACATCTACCTTCACCTGACCCTATAACATCTACCATCACCTGACCCTACACCATCTACCGTCACTTGACCCTACAACATCTACCAACACCTGACTCTACAGCATCTACCAACACCTGGCCCTACAACATCTACCATCACCAGGCTCTACAATATCTACCATCACCAGGCCTTTCAAAATCTACCTTCAACTGACCCTACAACATCTACCTTCACCTGACCTGATAACATATACCATCACTTGACCTGATAACATATACCATCACTTGACCCTACAACATCTACCTTCATATGATCCTATAACATCTACCATCACCTGACCCTACAGCGACTACCATCAAATTGACCATACAACATCTACCAACACTTGACCCTACAACATCTACCATCACCTGACTCTACAGCATCTACAAACACCTGATTCAACAACATCTTCTACCATCACCAGGACGTACAACATCTACCATCACCTGACTCTACAAGATCTACCTTCACCTAGCCCTACAACATCTACATTCACCTGACCCTACAACATCTACCTTCACCCGGCCCTAGAACATCTACCATCACTAGGCCCTACAACATTTACCTTCACCTGACCCTACAACATCTACCTTCACCTTGCCCTACAACATCTACCATCACTAGGCCCTACTACAACATCTACCTTCACCTGACCCTACATCTACCAACACCTGGCCCTACATAATGTACCAACACCTGACCCTACATCATCTACCATCACCTGACCCTACAACATCTACCATCACCAGGCCCTACAACATTTACTTTAACCTGACCCCACAGCATCTACCACCACCTGACTTTACAACATCTACCATCACCAGGCCCTACAACATCTACCATCACCTGACCCTACAACATCTACCTTCACCTGACCTTATAACATCTACCATCACCTGACCCTACAACATCTACTAACACCTGAACCTACAACATCTACCATCACCTGACCGTACAGCATCTACCAACACCTGACTCTACAACATCTACCATCACCTGGCCCTACAGCATCTACCATCACCTGACCCAACAACATCTACCATCACCAGGCCTTACAACATCTACTTTCACCTGACCCTACAGCATCTACCAACACCTGATTCTACAACATATACCATCACCAGACCCTACAACATCTACCATCACCTGACCCTACAACATCTACCTTCACCTGACCCTATAACATCTACCATCACCTGACACTACACCATCTACCGTCACTTGACCCTACAACATCTACCAACACCTGACTCTACAGCATCTACCAACAACTGGCCCTACAACATCTACCATCACCAGGCTCTACAATATCTACCATCACCAGGCCCTTCAAAATCTACCTTCAACTGACCCTACAACATCTACCTTCACCTGACCTTATAACATCTACCATCACCTGACCCTACACTATCTACTATCATCTGAACCTACAACATCTACCATCACCTGACCGTACCGCACCTACCAACAAATGACTCTACAACATCTACCATCACCTGACTCTACAACATCTACCAACACCTGACTCTACAACATCTACCATCACCTGACCCTACAGCATCTACCTTCGCCTGGCCCTGCAACATCTACCATCACCAGGTTCTACAACATCTACCATCGCCAGGCACTTCAAAATCTACCTTCAACTGACCCTACAACATCTACCTTCACCTGACCTTATAACATATACCATCACTTCACCCTACAACATATCTACCTTCATATGATCCTATAACATCTACCATCACCTGACCGTACAGCGACTATCATCACTTGAACCTACAACATCTACCAACACTTGACCCTACAATATCTACCATCATCTGACTCTACAGCATCTACAAACACCTGATTCAACAACATCTACCATCACCAGGACGTACAACATCTACCTTCACCTGGCCCTACAACATCTACCATCACTAGGCCCTACAACATCTATCTTCACCTGATCCCATAATATATACCATCACCTGGGCCTACATGACAATATCTACCAACACCTTGACCTTACATCTACCAACACCTGGCCTTAAGATAATGTACCAACACCTGACCCTACATCATCTACCATCACCTGACCCCACAGCATCTATCAACACTTGACCCTACAACATCTACCATCACTGTAAGGCTGTACAAGATCAACCTTTCACCTGACCCTACAACACCTACCTTCACCTGACCCTATAACATCTACCATCACCTGACCTTACAGCATCTACCATCACTTGACCCTACAACATCTACCAACACCTGACCCTACAGCATCTACCATCACCTGACCCTACAACATCTACCATCACCAGGCCCTACAACATTTACTTTAACCTGACCCCACAGCATCTACCAACACCTGACTCTACAACATCTACCATCACCAGGCCCTACAACATCTACCATCACCTGACCCTACATCTACCTTCACCTGACCCTATAACATCTACCATCACCTGACCCTACAACATCTACGAACACCTGAACCTCCAACATCTACCATCACCTGACCGTACAGCATCTACCAACACCTGACTCTACAACATCTACCATCACCTGATTCTACAACATCTACCAACACCTGACTCTACAACATCTGCCATCACTTGACCCTACAGCATCTACCATCACCTGACCCAACAACATCTACCATCACCAGGACGTACAACATCTACATTCACCTGGCCCTACAACATCTACCATCACTAGGCCCTACAACATCTACCTTCACCTGATCCTATAACATATACCATCAACTGGCCCTACAACATCTACCAACACCTGACCCTACATCTACCAACACCTGGCCCTACATAATGTACCAACACCTGACCCTACATCATCTACCATCACCTGACCCCACAGCATCTATCAACTCTTGACCCTACAACATCTACCATCACCAGGCCGTACAAGATCAACCTTCACCTGACCCTACAACATCTACCTTCACCTGACCCTATAACATCTACCATCACCTGACCTTACAGCATCTACCGTCACTTGACCCTACAACATCTACCAACACCTGACTCTACAGCATCTACCAACACCTGACTCTACAACATCTACCATCACCTGACTCTACAACATCTACCAACACCTGACCCTACAGCATCTACCATCACCTGACCCTACAACATCTACCATCATCAGGCCCTACAACCTTTATTTTAACCTGACCCCACAGCATCTACCAACACCTGACTCTACAACATCTACCATCACCAGGCCCTACAACATCTACCATCACCTGACCCTACAGCATTTACCATCACCTGACCCTACAACATCTACCATCACCAGGCCCTACAACATTTACTTTAACCTGACCCCACAGCATCTACCAACACCTGACTCTACAACATCTTCCATCACCAGGCCCTACAACATCTACCATCACCTGACCCTACAACATCTACCTTCACCTGACCCTATAACATCTACCATCACCTGACCCTACAACATCTACGAACACCTGAACCTACAACATCTACCAACACTTCTTACAACATTCTTACCTTCACATGACTCCTATAATCTACCATCATCTGACTCTACAGCATCTACAAACACCTGATTCAACAACATCTACCATCACCAGGACGTACAACATCTACCTTCACCTGGCCCTACAACATCTACCATCACTAGGCCCTACAACATCTATCTTCACCTGATCCTATAACATATACCATCACCTGGGCCTACAACATCTACCAACACCTGACCCTACATCTACCAACACCTGGCCCTACATAATGTACCAACACCTGACCCTACATCATCTACCATCACCTGACCCCACAGCATCTATCAACACTTGACCCTACAACATCTACCATCACCAGGCCGTACAAGATCAACCTTCACCTGACCCTACAACATCTACCTTCACCTGACCCTATAACATCTACCATCACCTGACCTTACAGCATCTACCATCACTTGACCCTACAACATCTACCAACACCTGACCCTACAGCATCTACCATCACCTGACCCTACAACATCTACCATCTCAGGCTCCTACAACATCTACTTTTAACCTGACTCCTCACAGCATCTACCAACACCTGACTCTACAACATCTACCATCACTCAGGCCCTACAACATCTACCATCACTCTGACCCTACAACATCTACTCTTCACCTGACCCTATAACATCTACAAATTTCACCTGATCTCCCTACAACATCTACGAACACCTGGAACCCTCCTTCCAACATCTACTATCACCTGACTGTACAAGCATCTACCAACACCTGGACTCTACAACATCTACCATCACCTGGATTCTACAACATATCCATTCAACACCTGACCTCTACAACATCTGCCATCACTTGACTCCTACAGCATCTCACTATCACTCTGACCCAACAACATCTACCAACACCTGACTCACAACACTGCCTTCACCTGGCCCTACCACACTACCATCACTAGACTTCTACAAATATCTACCTTCACCTGATCCTATAACATAGTACCATCAACTGGCCCTACACATCTACCAACACCTGACCCTACATCTACCAACACCTGGCCCTACATAATGTACCAACATCTGACCATACACCATCTTACCATCACCTGGACTCCCACAGCATCTATCAACTTTGACCCTACAACATCTACCATCACCAGGCCCTAAACAAGATCAACCTTCACCTTGACCCTACAACATCTACCTTTCACCTGACCCTATAACATCTACCATCACCTGACCTCTACAACATCTACCGTCACCTTGACCCTACAACATCTACCAACACCTGACTCTACAGCATCTACCAACACCTGACTCTACAACATCTACCACCAGGTTTTCCTACAACATCTACCATCACCTGACCCTACAGCATCTACCATCACCTGACCCTACAACATCTACCATCACCTGACCCTACAACATCTACTTTAACACCCGACCCCACAGCATCTACAACAACACCTGACTCCCATCAACATCTCCACCTGACCCTACAACATCTACCATCACTTGACTCCTACAACATCTACCTTCACTCTGACTCCTTTATAACATCTACTCAACACCTGAACCTACAACATCTACCATCACCTGACCGTACAGCATCTACCATCACTTGACCCTACAACATCTACCAACACCTGACTCTACAGCATCTACCAACACCTGACTCTACAACATCTACCAACACCTGACTCTACAACATCTACCATCACCTGACCCTACAACATCTACCTTCACCTGACCCTATAACATCTACGAACACCTGAACCTACAACATCTACCATCACCTGACCGTACAGCATCTACCAACAGCTGACTCTACAACTTCTACCATCACCTGACTCTAGAACATCTATCAACCGCTGACTCTACAACATCTACCATCACTTGACCCTACAGCATCTACCATCACCTGACCCAACAACATCTACCATCACCAGGACGTACAACATCTACCTTCACCTGGCCCTACAACATCTACCATCACTAGGCCCTACAACATCTACCTTCACCTGATCCTATACCAACAACATCTACCAACACCTGACCCTACATCTACACACACCTGGCTCCTACATAATGTACACTACCAACACCTGACCCTACATCATCTATCATCATCTTACCCCACAGCATCTACCAACCCCTGGACCCCAATACAACATCTACCATCACCAGGCCCTACAACATCTACCATCACCTGACCCCATACAACATCTACCATCACCATCACTACCAATCTACTCTACAAACATCTCTGACCTTACAGCATCTACCAACACCTGACTCTACAACATCTACCAATCACCTGACTCTACAACATCTACCATCACCTCCCTATAACATTGACCCTACACAACACTACCATCACCAGGCCCTACAACATTTACTTTTAACCTGACCTCCTACAACATCTACCATCACCAGGCCCTACAACATTTTACTAACCTTGACCCTACAGCATCTACACCAACACCTGACTCTACAACATCTACCATCACCAGGCCCTACAACATCTACCTTCACCTGACCCTACAACATCTACCTTCACCTGACCCTATATCATCTACCATACACATCTGACCCTACAACATCTACCAACACCTGACTCCTACAGCATCTACCAACATGACTCCATCTACCATCACCTGGACAACATCCACCAACACCTGACCCTCAGCATCTACCATCACCTGACCCAACAACATCTACCATCACCAGGCCCTACAACATTTACTTTAACCTGACCCCACAGCATCTACCAACACCTGACTCTACAACATCTACCATCACCAGGCCCTACAACATCTACCTTCACCTGACCCTACAACATCTACCTTCACCTGACCCTATAACATCTAGCATCACCTGACCCTACATCATCTACCAACACCTGACCCTATAACATCTACCATCACTTGACCCTACATCATCTAGCAACACCTCCACAACATCACCTGACCCTACATCATCTACCAACACCTGACCCTACAACATCTACCAACACCTGGCCACCCTATCCAACATCTGGGTCTACATGTACACACATGACCCTAACCAACACCTGACCCTACGTCTAACAACACCTGGCCCTACAACAGCTACCAACAACTGGCCCTACAACATCTACCAACACGTGACTCTACAGTATCTACCAACACCTGACTCTGCAGCATCTAACATCACCTGACCCTACAACATCTACCAACAGCTGACCCTGCGTCCAACAACACTTGGCTCTAATACAGCTACCAACAACTGGCCCTGCATCATGTACCAACACCTGAACCTACAACATCTACCATCACCAGGCCCTACAACATCTACCTTCACCTGACCCTACAACATCTACTTTCACCTGACACTATAAGATCTACCATCACCAAGGCCTACAACATCTATCTTCGTATGATCCTATAACATCTACCATCACCTGACCCTACAAGATCTACCTTCACCTGACTCTACAACATCTACCTTCACCCGGCCCTACAACATCTAACAATTTCATTCATCACCAGTCTCTTTCTACAACATCTACCTTCACCTGACCCTACAACATCTACCACACCCGGCCCTACAACATCTGCTACCATCATTAGGCCCTACAACATCTACCTTTCACCTGACCCTTATACCTGACATGTACCTCCTGACCCTACAACATCTACCAACACCTGACCCCACATCTACCAACACCTGACTCCTACAACATCTTACCATCACCTGGCCCTACAACATCTACCATCACCTGACCCTATAACATCTAATACCATCACCTGGACCTTGCTCATATACCATGACCCTACAACATGTACCTCTTACACACTGACCCTACAACATCTACTATCACCTGACCCTACAACATCTTTAACATGACAAGCATCTAATACCTTGACCCTACAACATCTACCATCACCTGACCCTACAACATCTACCATTCACCTGGACCCTATAACATCTACCTGACTCCGGGACAAACATCTACTATCACCTGACCCTATAATCATCTAGCCAAAATCTACAAATACATCACCTGACTCCTACAGGATCTACCAACACCTACTTCTACAACATCACCATCACCTAACCCTACCAACTACCAACCAGGCTACAACATCTACACCTGACCCTACACCAACATCTACCATCACCATAACCAGGCTCTACAGCATCTACCATCACCTGACCCTACAACATCTCCAACACATCACCTGACCAACACCTACAACTTCTACCATCACCTAAAGCTACAGCAACTACCATCACCAGGCCCTACAACATCTACTTTCTCACCTGACCCCACAGCATCTACCATCACCTGACTCTTACAACATCTTACCTCCACCTGACCCTACAACATGTACCATCACCTGACCCTACAACCATCTTGACCCTACAACATCTACCACCACTAACTCTACAGCATCTACCATCACCTGACCCTACAGCATCTACCATCACCCCTAACCCTACAACATCTACTAATACCTGACCCTACAGCATCTACCACTAACACCTGACTCTACAACATCTACCATCACTAGGTCCCTACAACATTCCTACCTTCACTATGAACCTACAACATCTACCTTCACCTGACCCTACAACATCTACCATCACCAGGCACTCTACAACATCTACCTTCACCTGACCCTATATAACATCTACCATCACCTGACCCTACATCATCTACCATCACCTGACCCCTTACAGTCATCTACCATCACCTGACCCTACAGCATCTACCATCACCTTAGACCCTACAATATCTAATTTCACTTGACCCTATAACATTTCTCAATACCTGGCCATACATCTTCCAGCATCTGGCCCTACATCCATACAAACACATGACCCTACAACATCAACCTTCACATGACCCTATATCTATATTACCTGGGTCACTCTCAACAGCTACAACAACTGGCTCCACAACATCTACACTACTTGACTCCTACAGCATCTACCAACACCTGACTACTGCAGCATCTAATGATCACCTGGATTCCTACAACATATCTACTGGATCACCTGACCCTACGTGTCTAACATCACTAGGCTTTCCCACAACAGTCTACTTTCAACTGACCCTAACATCATCTACCAACACCTGACCTACAACATCTACCATCACCAGGCCCTACAACATCTACCTTCACCTGACCCTACAACATCTACTTTCACCTGACACTATAAGATCTACCCTCACCAGGGCCTACAACATCTATCTTCGTATGATCCTATAACATCTACCATCACCTGACTCCTACAACATCTACCTTCACCTGACTCTACAGCATCTACCTTCACCTGGCCCTACAACATTTACCATCACCAGGCCCTACAACATCTACCTTCACCTGACCCTATAACATCTACCATCACATGACTCTACAACTTCTACCTTCACTTGACCCTATAACATGTACCATCACCTGACCCTACAACATCTACCTTCACATTACCCTATAACATGTATCATCACCTGACCCCTACAACATCTACCAGCACCTGACCCTACAACATCTATCATCACACTTGACACTACTACATCTACCACTACATCACCAGGCTCCTATAAACAGTCCCACTCTGCCCTTAGGTCCCAACATCTACCATCACCTGACTCCTACAACATCTACCAACACTTGACCCTCACTACCATCTACCCTAAGGTATCATGACCACCCTACAACATCTACCATCACCAGATTCCCTACAACATCTACCAACACCTGACTCCTACAAGATCTTCCATCACCAGACCCTACAGCATCTACACTTCACCTGACCCTTCACAGCATCTACCAGCACCTGACTCTACAACATCTACCATCACCAGGCCCCTACAACATCTTACCTTCACCTGACCCTACAACATCTACCTTCACCTGACTCTACCGCAACATCTACCATCACCTGACTGGACCCTAGAACATTCTACCAACACCTGACCCTACAACATCTACCATCACTGACAAAATCAACACTGACCCTACACTCATCTAACACCATCACCTAACCCTATAGCATTTCTCCACCATTCACCAGGACTCTACAACACTACCTTCATATAATCCCACAGCATCTACCAACACCTGACTCTACAACATCTACCATCACCTGATCTCCTACAACATCTACCATCACCTGACCATACAGCATCTACCATCACCTGACCCTACAACATCTACCATCACCTAACTTCTACAGCATCTACCAACACCTTACTCTACACGCATCTACCATCACCTGACTCCTACAACATCTACCATCACCTGACCCCCACAGCATCTACCATCACCTGACCTTACAACATCTACCATCACCTGGCCCTACAACATTTACTTTAACCTGACCAGGCAGCATCTACAACATCTTACTCTCCTTCACCATGACCCTATAACATCTACCACTCACCTGACCCTGTACAACATCTACCTTCACCTGACTCTTATAACATCTACCATCACCAGGGCCTGACCCTATCGTTGTATGATCCTATAAACTGCCATCACCTGAACCTCTAACATCTACCAACACCTAACTCTACAACACTTACCAACACCTGACCTCTACAAATATCTACCATCACCTGACCCTACAACATCTACCATCACCTGACTCCTACAACATCTACCATCACCTGACCCTCAGGATCTACCATCACCTAACTCTAAAACTCCTACCTTTCACTTCTGACTCCTATAACATCTACCTGTACCTGGACCCTCCAAATATCTACCTTCACTATGCTCCTATAACATCTACTCATCACCTGACCCTACAAATATCTACCATCACCTGACCCTACAACATCTACCATCACTCTGACCCTACAACACAGTACCAACACCTGACCCAACATGCATCTACCCTCACCTGACCCTATAACATCTACCATCACCTGACCCCTACAGCATCTATCATCTTATGATCCAGCAACATCTACCATCACTGACCTGCACAGGATCGCAACTCTTCACCTGACCCTACAACATCTACCTTCACCTGACCCTACAACATCTACCACCATCACCTGACTCTCTACAGCATCTACCTTCACCTTGATCCTACAACATCTACCAACACCTGACTCTACAAGATCTACCTTCACTTGACCCTAGCAACATCTATACCATCACCTGACTCCCTACAACATCTACCATTCACCTGACCCTACAACATCTACCTTCACCTGACCCTACAACATTTCCTACCATCACCAGGCCTCCTACAACAACTACCTTTCACCTGACCCCACAACATCTACCATCACCTGACTCTACAGTATTCCAACATCTACCTGACACATCATCTACCAACAACTGACTCTAACAATACCTAGCATCACCAGACCCTACAACATTTACCTTTCACATGGTCTCAAACATCTACCATCACCTGACCCAACAACAACATTTACTTTAACCTGACCCTACAGCATCTACCTTCACCTGACTTACACAACATCCTACCATCACCTGACCCTACAACATCTACCATTCACCTGACCTTCTAAACAAATACCAAATACCTGACCCTACAACATCTGTTATACTGAACACCTGAACTTACAACATCCACTTATATACCTGGACCTGTACAAAATCTACCAACACTGAATTCTGACTCCTACAATATCTACCATCACCTGGACTTCTATTTACATCTACCTTTCATATGCATTCTATAACATCTACTATCACCTGACCCAACAGTATCTACCATCACTCTGACCCTACAACATCTACCATCACTAGGCTCCTACAACATCTACCTTCACCTGTCCCTACAACATTACCACTCACTCTGACCTACAACATCTACCTTCACCTGACCCTATAAAGATCTACCAACACCTGACCTCACATATCAACATCTACCATCACCTGATACTGTACAATTTTAATCTTGTACCAATACACCTGCTCTTCACTAATTACAGCATCTACTACCACTTTGTATGGCCTGGACATAATACCTGGACCCAACATCATCTACCAACACCTGACTTCTACAACATCTACCATCACCTTGACCCTAAGGTATCTACCTTCACATGACCCTAACAATATCTACTTCCTTTCACCTGACCCTACAGTATCTACTCTATCACCTGACTCCTACAAGCATCTACTCTTACCATGCTCCTATAACATATACCATCACCTGACCCTACAATATCTTACCATAAGCCTTGACCCTACAAATATCTTACCAACACCTGACTTTGCTACAGCATCTACCAACACCTGACTCTACAACATCTACCATCACCTGACTCCTACAGCATCTACCATCACCTGACCTCTACAACATCTACATTCACCTGGCCCTAACAACACATTCACTACTATCACCAGGCCCCTACAATCTGGATTCTACCTTAACTACTGACCCTACAGCATCTACCATCACCTGACTCTCTACAACATCTACCATCACCTTGGTTCTAACAACATCCACAATCACCTGACCCTACAACATCTACCTTCACCTGACCCTATAAATGACATCTACTCACCACCCTGACTTACATCTACGAGCCTTCATCCTGGGCAATCTCTACTATCTAACTGTAAGCATCTACCAACACCTTGACTTAACAACATCTACCATCACCTGACCTGCTACACCTCATCTACCAACACCGCCTGACCCTACAACATCTGTCCATGAACAGGTTTGCCTTGACCCTACAGCATTATACCAGAATAACCAATTTGACGTCTCATACATGCACCTTCACCTGGCCCTAAGCAACATCTACCATCACTAAATGAATTTCTATAACATCTTACCAACACCTGATCCTATAACATCTACCATAACAACCTGACTTCTACAAATATCTACCATCACACTCTCACCCTACAGTACCTACCACCTGGCCCTGCCATAATACTACTTTTCACTCTACCAACGTCAGCACTATCACCTGGGTCCCTACAATGCTGTACTCTAAACTCTTAACTTATAGTGACCCTACAATATCTAAAATTCTCTCTTTCTAGAGTCTCTGCACATTCACTTTAACACTCTGACTTTGCTCACAACATCTACTAAACACTCTGACCCTATAACATCTACCAACACTCTGACCTTATAGCATCTGTACTTGGACCTACTTCATCACTGACTTCTACAGCATCTACCATCACCTGACTTTCACATCATCTACCATCACCTGACTCCTACAACATCTACTTTCAACACCTGACCCTACAACATGTACCATCACCTGACTTTCATGCAAGTATTTCACAATTACTTTGACCTACAACATCTACCTTTCACCTGACTCCTATAATTCTACCATCACTTGGCTCTATACATCTACCTTACCTTGATCCTCTATAACATCTTACCATCACTCTGACCCTACAGTACATCTACCATCATCTCTTGGATATTTACTTTGCACCTGGATCACCCCACATATATCTACCATCACTCTGACTCTACAACATCTTCTGTCTACCACTCACTACAACATCTACTTATCACCTTGGTTGTACAATCGCTTGTACTGTGTCAACTTCCTTCTACACCTGCTAGCCCTACAACATCTTTACCATTCACTTGATCCTATAAAAATGCTATCACCTGACCACACCTGAATTCCTAGCAACATCTACCATCACCTTGACCGTGACAGCATCTACCATCACCTGACAATCTACAAATGATCTACCAACACTTCCTGACTCCTATAGCATCTACCAACACCTGACCCCTACAACATCTACTCTCATTACCTGACTCTACAGCATCTACCATCTGACCTTACAACATCTACCATCACCTAGGACCTACAACATCTACCTTCACCTGACCCTACAACATCTACCATCATCCTGACTCCTACAGTAACCCTGGACCTTATGCCTAACTTACCCCTACATCACCTAATTTTACACATGACCGCCTTATACTCATGACCCTAGCATCTTACCAACAGCTGGACACATCATCTACCAACACCTGATTCTACAACATTTTAGCATCACCTGGCCCTTGGAATAATATCTTACTCAATCACCTGGACCTAGCACCCACAGTATCTATCCTTTAAAATATACCAACACCTTGACCGTATAAACATCAACCATAATATGACCCTACAAAATCTACCAAAACCTGACCCTACAACATCTACCAACACCTGACTCTACAACATCTACCATCACCTGACCCCACAGCATCTACCTTCACCTGACCCTACAACATCTACCATCACCTGGCCCTACAACGTCTACCATCACCAGGCCCTACAACGTCTACCTTAACCTAACCCTATAACATTTACCATCACCTGAGTCTACAACATCTACCTTCACTTGACCCTATAACATCTACCATCACCTGACTCTACAACATCTACCAACACCTGATCCTATAACATCTACAATCACCTGACTCTACAGCATCTACCATCACCTGACCCCACATCATCTACCATCACCTGACCCTACAGCATCTACCATCACCTGACTCTACAGCATCTACCATCACCTGACCCTACAACATCTACCATCACCTGACCCTACAACATCTACCATCACCTGACTCTACAGCATCCACAATTACCTGACCCTACAACATCTACCTTCACCTGACCCTATAATATCTACCATCACTTGGCTCTACATCTACCTTCATATGATCCTATAACATCTACCATCACCTAACCCTACAACATCTACCATCACCTGACTCTACAACATCTACCATCACCTGACCCTACAACATCTACCTTCACCTGACCCTACAACATCTACCATCACCAGGCTCTACAACATCTACCTTCACATGACCCTATAACATCTACCAACACCTGACCCTACAGCATCTACCATCACCTGACCCTACAGCATCTACCATCACCTGACCCTACAACATCTACCATCACCTGGCCCTACAACGTTTGCAATCACCAGGCCCTACAACATCTACCTTCACATGACCCTATAACATCTACCATCACCTGACTCTACAACATCTACCAACACCTGACCCTATAACATCTACCAACACATGACCCTATGACATCTACAATCACCTGACTCTACAGCATCTACCATCACCTGACCCCACATCATCTACCATCACCTGACCCTACAACATCTACCATCACCTGACCCTACAACATCTACCATCACCTGACTCTACAGCATCCACAATTACCTGACCCTACAACATCTACCTTCACCTGACCCTATAATATCTACCATCACTTGATTCAGCTCTACCACATCTACAACATTACATCACCTGACCCTATAACATCTACCATCACTTGACCCTACAACATCTACCATCACCTGACCCTACAACATCTACCTTCACATGACCCTATAACATGTACAATCACCTGACCCTACAACGTCTACCTTCACATGACTCTATAACATCTACCATCACCTGATCCTACAGCATCTACCATCACCTGACCCTACAACATCTACCATCACCTGACCCTACAACATCTACCATCACCTGACCCTACAACATGTACCATCACCTGACTCTACAGCATCCACAATTACCTGACCCTACAACATCTACCTTCACCTGACCCTATAATATCTACCATCACTTGGCTCTACATCTACCTTCATTTGATCCTATAACATCTACCATCACCTGACCCTACAGCATCTACCATCACCTGACCCTACAACATCTACCATCACCTGACCCTACAACGTCTACCTTCACATGACTCTATAACATCTACCATCACCTGATCCTACAGCATCTACCATCACCTGACCCTACAACATCTACCAACACCTGACCCTACAACATCTACCAACACATGACCCTATGACATCTACAATCACCTGACTCTACAGCATCTACCATCACCTGACCCCACATCATCTACCATCACCTGACCCTACAACATCTACCATCACCTGACCCTACAACATCTACCATCACCTGACTCTACAGCATCCACAATTACCTGACCCTACAACATCTACCTTCACCTGACCCTATAATATCTACCATCACTTGACTCTACATCTACCTTCATATGATCCTATAACATCTACCATCACCTGACCCTACAACATCTACCATCACCTGACCCTACAACATCTACCATCACCTGACCCTACAACATCTACCATCACCTGACCTGACAACATCTACCATCACCTGACTCTATAACATCTACCATCACCTGATCCTACAGCATCTACCATCACCTGACCCTACAACATCTACCATCACCTGACCTGACAGCATCTACCATCACCTGAC